CCCCCCCAGGCTGGTGGGGTGCCCCGGGGCTCCCCAGGCTCGCCGGCCGGGGGAGGGGCGTGGCCGGCCCAACTCTGCCTTCTCAACCTCGGAATCCGCAGGTATTACTACAACAAGAGGATCCTGCACAAGACCAAAGGCAAAAGGTTCACGTACAAGTTCAACTTCAGCAAGCTGATTGTCGTCAACTACCCTCTGTGGGAGGTGCGGGCACCACCTTGCCCCCTGCTGCTGGGGGCCCCTGCCCTGTTTCGGCCAGCCCTGGTGCCCATGGGCACGCCCGGCGAGGTAGGCACGGAGGCGGCCCCCCCTCCCCTCCGCCCAGGAGGACCCCAGCCCTCCTCTCTGCCTCGGGGGCCCCGGCAGTGGCCAGCGGTCTTCTCCCACTGCTTTCTGGTCCCCCAGCGCCCCCGGGGGTGGGGGCAGGGCCGTCACCCTGAAACACCTTCAGGAGGTGCAGCCTGCGCCTGGGGGCGAGGGTGGTTCCTGCGGGACCCCTCCAGCGGGAGGACCCCAGGGAAGGGGGCGGGGTCTCAGGGAGGCGTCTGGGCATGAACCGGGGAACACAGGTCGCCGGCCAGCCCACGCCACCCTCACTCCTGCTTCTCCCTCCCCAGCTCCTGCACAGCGCGCTGCTCGCCGGTTGGGCCACAGTGGAGCAGCTGGCCGGGCAGCGGACCCCCCGAGGGCCGCCAGAGGCCTCTGAGGATAAGAAGGGGAGCGGCAGCCGTGCCCCCCGTGAGTGCTCGGGCCCGGGGAGGGCCCAGGGGATTGCAAGTGGGACCCTCCTGGCTGAGCCCATGGGCCAGAGGCTTGAGACAGGGACAATAAAGTCATTCATTCATTCAACAAACTGAGCCCCAGCTATTCCCTAGGTGTGGGGGCTCAGAGGGGCTGGACGGCCCTCAAGATGCTCAGAGAGTGGAGGGAGTAGAGGAGGGACAGTCAGCGAGTGGTGTGGAGAGACTCGGGGAAGCGCCAGGCGCTACGGGAATGCAGAGATGAGCGGGCATCCCGGAGGAGGAGGCCCCTGCCCCCGGTGAGGCAGGTGCAGAAAATGCCCAGGCAGAGGGAATGGCGTGTGCAAGGCAGGGAGTTGTGAGCAAGAGTAGAGGCGCTGAGGGACCCAGTGAGTGGCCGTGGTCAGAGAGTGAGGGGTGGAGCTGGGTTGGAGGGGGCGTGAGGCGGGTACCGGCAGGCTTGGGAGGACCATCTAGGCAGAGGATGACGGGACCAGAACGAAGCACGGGAGGCAGGTGGAGAAGGAGGCTCTGCACAAGGAGGAGGGAGAAGAGCACAGCACGGCAAGCAGAGAGAAACAGTGTGTGCAAAGGCCCCGGGGCAGGAAAGAGGGACTAGGAAAGGCCAGCGTGGCAGCACTGGCGATCCCAGGGGGGTGGGTGGAAATGTAGGCAGAGGTCAGCAATCCCAGGGCTGTAAACAGCGAAGTGACAAAACCAGACTGTCCGTGAGGAAGATCACGGACACGCCTGAGCAGCCGGAGGCTTCACACAGACGGCTCAGACCTGCCCCTCCTCTCCGGGCGACTTCACGGGAGAGAGACCCCGGGCCTTAGCCTTGTCCCCAGAGCCAGGCACCTCTGGGCCCCAGGGTGCAGCCGAGGCTGTGGGCGAGGGTGGCCCAGGGCCTGCTGGGACCCGCTCGGCCACCGGTCTGGCCCCTGGAGAGAGACAGCGCCTGCACGGCACCCCTGTGCTCCTACCCCCACCCCCCTCCTGGCTCCAGAAGTGCCCCGCACGGAGCTTTCTCTTTGGGGAACCGCGAGGGGGAAACAGTGTCCCCAGCGAGCCCCAGCTTGGAGTGGGCCGTCTGCACCTCCCTGCCCTTTGTGGGGACACACACACACACACACACACACACACGAGCTGCCTGGCTGAAGTCATCTGAAGGCTGTGCAGGCCCCTCACCCCACCTCCGCTCCGGGCACTGGTGCCAAGAGAGGATGCTTCTGGGTGGAAAAGTAGCCAGGCCTGCGAACCGGACGCAGAGGCTGCAGGCCCGGTGCTGGGAGGGGCGGGGGGGGCGGGGAGGGGCGGGGCGCGGACACTCAGACCGTCTCCTTCACCTGCTCCTCAGCCCCCATCTGATGTCCAAGGGCGGACGCAGCCCCAGACCCAGGGAGAAGGGCAGTGACCCCGGGGGACGGCTCGGGGTCACCTTTGCCTCATGCAGGACCCTGTCCACTGGTTTCCCTTCGTGGGTCCGACTTCAGAACCATCGTTCCTTCCGAATACGTCGGGCGTGTTAAATAATAACGAATTCGCCTTTCCGGTTTTCATTCACTACAGCCCCACCGATGTGATGACATTACTCTTCTAGTTCGATGATGTGGCCTTGCTAAGAGAGGACTCGAAGGGTCGGAGTTGGGCTTTTGGAAATAAGGACAGTGCCAGGAGGTTGTGCTAGTCGCCCCGAGCCCCGGCCCCCGCCCCGGGGTTTTGGGCGCCGGGTTGCAGGATGCCCGCAGGGCCGGAGGATCTGGAAGGAGGGGCGGAGGGAAGGATCCTGGGGGAGCAGGCCAGGGCCCAGCCGGCCGAGAAGGCGAGGCCGGGCCCCCCACGCGTTGGCCTCCCACTTGACCTTCGCCAGCAGAGGGGCCGGTACAGATGAGGAGACCGGGGCCTGGATTTCAGGGACAAGCTTGGGGCCACAGGCTAGAGCCAGAGCCCTGCGCTACAGAGAGTGCAGACAGGACTCACTAAGTTCCAGCAGTGTCCTCACCCAGTCATCCCACACGCTCGTCCTGAGCTCTTAGGAGGCACCAGGCGGGTCCAGGGGACAGCGATACAGGCACGGTTCCGGCGCGCACAGAGCCGGGGGCGCAGACATTCTGGGGGTAACCACGCTCATCGGGCCAAGGGCCCAGGAGGAGAGGGGCGGGAGCCACAAGGGGGATCCCCAGGCTGACCTGTCTCACCCCCAGGGAATAGACCCGAAGCAAAGGAAACAGGATGGGGCACAGCAGGGAAAGGAAGTTTCCAGCAAGAGGAAAAGGAAATAGGAAGTAGGTGGAGAAGGGAGATCCCTCCTGACCCTCCCTCCCTCTCTCTCTCTGTCTCTCTGTCTCTCTCTCTCCCCAGGCCTTGGCTCTCTCCCAGCCCCCTGCCAGCTTGGCCCTTGCTGCCTTCTGGGGAGCCCCCGAGAGGAGCTGCTGGGTCTGGCCTCCTTGGCCCCTCCTCTCCTGCCTTCCCTCCCTTCCGACTGGACCCGCCTCTCAGGACCCTTCCTGCCCCCTGTCCCCCCAGAGCGGCTGATCCCGGGGACCTCCAAGCCAGACACCCTGCTGCCAGGGCCCGGCTGCCCCCCAGCGACCCACCACTTTCCGGGGCTCCCCTTGTTGGCTGGGCTGGGACAGGGGGCCGGCGAGAGGATCCGGCTTTTGCCCCTGAGGCCCCCGGGGCTGGAGGTAAAGCCCTATCCCATGATTGGGGCAAAGGGACTCCTGGACCCCAGGGAGGGCTTCTCCTCAGAGATACACAGACCCAAAGCCGGGGACGAAAGCCCTGTGTCCCTCCATCTGGAGAACTTCAAGGCAGTATGGCCCTTGGATCCTCCTTAACTGGGGAGAAGAGGGGAAGTGGGGGGTCCCCCAAAGTCCATGCCTCCTCCCGTGTATTTCCTTTCTGGCTTTGCACCTTCCCCGGCCTGGAAACAGGTTTCAATTGCAGGAGGCTTTGAAGGGGAGGAGTTGGACAAAAGGGGGTGGGGGGCATGCCGGGGGGTGGGGACTGAGGCAGG